TGTTTATTCTTTTTCTTAAAATATTTTATTTAGGTATTTTAAAATGGCTACAGCTAGAAAATTTTGACAAATTTTCATTGTTAAATATTGTTAAATATTTTGGTTAATTTAGCTTTCTCTTATTTTCGATATTTTTTCATTTTTTACAACGATTAAGGGTAAAAGAGACATTTCCTTAAAAATGAGATGAAAATATACTTTTATACCTTAAAAGTCATGTGCATTGCACTTGTTAATGGAGAAAATAACGGAGACAACAACCGTAACAAAATGAAAGTTTAGATGGGTCTTGTACAACAATTGAGAATTTGGGAGCAAACGTATATTAATTATTCCCAAAACATCATGGGAGCTTTGAGTAATATCCCCAAAAATATTACTTTTATGGAGATGAATTTTATATTTTTAAAGGAGCTATTTGTGACATTCTAAATTTCGACCCACTTGGTATTTATGAAATGCGTAATTTCAATAATGCACTTGTAGTAAATCTCGCCCAGACTTGATCACTCTTGGGACACTAACCGGAGGGAAAGGCTAATTAGGGATCCGATTCGTGCGACCATAGAACCGACCATGCACCGACTTTCGACCATAAGGATTGTCGAGGTGATATTTTGGGCTAATATAGACCGATCTAAGGACGGTCATGGATCGATTTGCGAATGTCGTATAAGTGGATCGCGGGTGATTCCGCCTTGCCAGAATACGAAATTAGCGAACGATCTCAAACATATTCCAAACGATCGCGTTCTTTAGAACTAGTGATTGATTCTCGCAATTACATGACAATCGAGGTCACCATGGCTCAAGTGAACTTAAACGTGACTCGATTTAGTATCGACCACTAGTGGTCGAATGTACGAATTTTCCCAAAAGCCACCCGTTAGTTTGAGATAAGCTCAAGTCGCGTTTATTTGAGTTTGGCCATTAAATAGAGGCGAGTTTGGGTGTTGAAAATTTTGAAAGTCATGACAGAGTAATTGGACGACGTCGTTATTAATGAGGTCAGCCTCGGATTTGTTCGGATTCGTCAGAAAACTGAATTTTGATAGGAAGTGGAAAATGACCGTTTTGCCCCTAGGATTTTGTGAAGACCAAGTATAATGTGAGAAGGGCATTTTGGTCATTTCATGCCAACTTTAGAGATATAAATTTTTGGACGATTTTGCCCATGCACTTTTTGTGAAATTCCTATTTTACCCTTGGATATTTTTTTGTGAGAATTGATCTTGGCCGTCGATTTTTGGATAAGATCGAATCGTGACCGTCGGATGGAAAGTAGAGAGAGGGGCAAGATGGTAATTTTTCGGGAGGGGTAGGCTTAGACTAGCCTTTTTCCTTCCTTTTTAATCTCTTTTTCTCTCTTTCACCCCTCATTTTTCTCACGCCTCCCTCTCTCTCCCTCTCCTCTTGGCCGAATCACTCTCCTCCCCCTCCTCCCGTGACCGTGGCCAAGCCGTAAGCCCGCCGTCGCCGTTGTTCAGCTGCCGTGCGTTGCCGGTCGCCGCTCGCCGGAGTTGCTGCCTTGCGAGGCCTTTGCTGCTGCTTGTTGGGCTTTTCTTGCTTAGGTTTAAGGCAAGTTTCTCTCTAAACTTTGATTAGAGTGATGGGTTGTGGATGGACTGGTTTAGGGGTTGATTGAGGTGATTATAGATGGATTAGAGGAGAGCTTGATCTTTCATTGTGTTCTTGGATGTTCAAATGGCTGTGGCATGGTAGTTTGAACCTTGTGGAATGAATTTTGAGGGCTGAAGTTTGGTGGTTATCAACAAGGGCTCGGATCTTTGAAGTTTGGGTTGAATCTCGAAATTGTGTTTTCTGTACCCTCCCGGTTTACTAATTTTGTGGAGATTTTTGGAGGCTGAATCAGGGGTGGTGTCCTTCACAAAATTTTTTCCTCACATCCTGAGGTATAACATATTTTAAATTTGGAATTTTTGGAGGCCATTTGGGTCGCACGAAAACCCATTTTCAGACCGTCTTAAAACTGCCCGGAACACTGTTCATCCCGACCTTCTTGTCTTGCCGAATTTTTATAAAATTTTCCAGATCTATTTTCAATAAACTTCATTCACAAAAGTTGTTGGATACTTTCCTTTCTATGACATATAAAAATTTCAAAGCTTTTCAAGGTGATTTGTGTGTTGAAAGAAATGTATTTTGAGGACAAAACAGTATGTTAAAGCGAACTGATTCTGGTCTGGTTTCGAGGGACGAAAAGGCATGGTTGCAGATTAAACCGGATTTTGTGTTCTTCATAAGAAATGTTTATCAAGATGTTTTTTATGATATATCCAAAATTTAGAATTTTTGGAATTCGTTTACTATTTATTTTGATGGGATTTCGGTCACTGTGTAAACTACCCAGATTTACCCTGATTCTATGGATGCTCATTTTTATGAGCGGAATGGTGGGTGTCGAGGTTGAATAGTTGCTGCCCTCGTGACTGGAATTAATGCTTGAATGTGTGTTGTATGAGTTGATTTGAGGGTGGTTGGTGATTACCTAATTGTGACCGTGTGCGTGGAAGGGCTTGTGGATTTAATTGAGGGGAAGTGGCTTCTTCGACATGTGTGTGTGGATTGATCAGTTTCGTGGCTGAATGGTGCTTGATTGACGGCCTAAATGGTGCTTATGCACGTGTGACTTGATATTGAATACTCGGTGTCCATGTTGATTGATTGGTTGATTTGTAATGATTGATGTTGTCGAGACCGAGGATGATTTGGTGGTGATCATGGGTTGCGATTGAGTTGACATGCATTATGTGAGCATGTGGTGTGATTAACACGCGAAGTGAATGCATTGCATGACATGAGTGATCACTAAAAGCCCTTAGGGGCAAAGATAAAAAGTGGTGTGATGGTGTGCTTGTGTGATCACCTAATCCCCGATTTTTGCGGGTATGACTCCCAGGCTGTTACACGGACATCCTGGTTTTGCCCGCCCGAACGCCTTCCTCTTTGAACTCAACATCACATTTGGTACAAATAGGTGCTTGTCGTTTTGATAAGACAAATTTTGTTGATAAGGCACTTCACTTATATCATATCACTGAAAACGAGTTAACTTAACATAATTATAGGGAATATTATCAAAAAATTCTTAAATTTATTGCATTTGTGCCAATTCAGTTTGAACCTTTCAATTTGGCCAATTTGGTCCTAAACTTTTTAATGATTTGCCAATTTAGTTCAAAACATTTTAATTGTGTCAATTTAGTCATGAATCTTTTGACGATTTGCAAATTTAGTCCTAAACCTTTTGACAATTAGCAAATTTAGTCCTTCCTCTCAATTTTGTTCGAAAATGCTGGCGTTGACTACTTTTACAATTTTTTTTAAAAAATTTAAATCATTTTGAATTTTTATTATTATTTCTTTCTTTGTCATTTTCTTTTCCTTTCTTTTCCCAAGGATCGGAGACCGAGGGTCGATGTGGGGATGGGATGAACTTTCCGCTTTTGGATGCCTTGCTATAGAAGAGTTTGGGTTAACCCAATCCTTCTGCATGTGCGGTTGGTGGCAAGTCGCCCTCGGAGTTGGGCTTGTAAATTGTACCAAACTTGGGTTAACAGTGTGTTTATGAAAGTTGTTTTGTTGATGTGTATTCCAAAAATTTGTCTCGTTAGGCTATCCGGTTATGTGATGTTGATAGGGTGTTACGGTTCGCTCCGCATGCGTATGATCGTTAGTGAATCGACATTTCGGTAAATCTGACCGGAATCGCACTCTTAAGACCGTCGTGGGATGTTCGCGTGTCGCGGGTTCGGGCGTGAAACTATTTGCTAATCAAATTGAAAATATTTACAGACTTAATTGATACAAGCTTCTTGTATACGGTTTTAATTGAATTTTTTGTCCGATTCAATACGGTTCAACCCCATACCAGTTTCGCTATCAAAAGCAAAATAAGTGAACATCCGAACAGAAAGATGCCCATGTGATAGAATTGTGATAGCATATAACATTCATATGATGAGGCATAGGTCTCGCTATATAGCAAAACCCACGAGCCAAATCTAAGGGACGTTTACCAGCATATGGAAGTGAAGGAACTCGGAAACTTCTAACAGAATACACAGAATATCACGGGTACTTATTGACAGGACTTTTTAAAATTTAATTCAGATAGTTTGTTGAAACTTCAAGCATAAGCATTGGGGTTTTTGAGGAGGTATGCTTCAGTGGCCTTGAACGTTCCCAAGACTATCCCTTTGCGTGCCTTAACATCCTCTTCTTTGAGCTCAACATCGCCCTTGGTGTAGTACGTGTCTTTAACCTTGTTCTTGCTCCCACCATCCAAAACGAGTTAACTTAACATAATTATAGGGAATATTATCATGAACAATAGATTCAAACTTTTTGTTTAACCAGATCGATTATGGAATACTTGAACTTGAATGTCTCCTTGTTCAAAACATTTCAATTACGTTAATTTAGTCCTGAACATTTTGACGATTTGCAAATTTAGTCCTAAACATTTTAATAATTAACCACCTATAGTCAATAGGGGGAAAAGTGCCATCAATTTTTTAAACTTTTTAAACCTTTTGAATTTTTTTATTATTAGTGCCAATTTAGTCCTAAACCTTTTTTTTGATACCAATTCAGTCCTAAACCTGTTTGCATTGGTGCCAATTTAGTCTGCCTAAACCTTTTTAAAAATGGTGTCAATTAAGTCCTAAACCTTTTAAATTGGTGCCAATTCAGTCATAAACCATTTTGAACTAAAATTTTTTGTGCCAATTTAATCCTTAGGAGTAAATTAATCAAATTGAAAGGTTTAAAACTAAATTGACACAAGTGCAATAAGTTTATGAATTTTTGAATAATTTTCCCCAGAATCACTAAAGCAAAATAAGTGAACATCCGAACAGAAAGATGCTCATGTGATAAGAATTGTGAAGTGATAGCATATGACATTCATATCATGAGGCATGGGTCCGTCTGGCTATATCGCAAAACCCACAAGCCAAATCTAAGGGACATTTTGTTTTTTTGTCAAATCTAAGGGACGTTTACCAGCATATGGAAGTGAAGGAACTCGGAAACTTCTAACAGAATACAGAGAATATCACGGGTACTTATTGACAGGACTTCTTAAATTTATTTAAGAGAACTGTTGAAACTTCAAGCATAAGCATTGGGGTTTTTGAGGAGGTATGCTTCAGTGGCCTTGAACGCTCCCAAGACTATCCCTTTGCGTGCCTTCACATCCTCTTCTTTGAGCTCAACATCGCCTTTGGTGTAGTACATGTCTTTAACTTTGTTCTTGCTCTCGCCATCCAGTGTTGGCTCAAATTTTACTTCATGAACAATAGATTCAAACTTTTCATCCAGATCGATTATGGAGTACCTGTACGTGAATGTCTCCTTGTTCAACTCATCTACGCGACTCTTGATGCCGATAAAGCCGACCACCTGTATTCAATAGGAGATCGTATCATAGTGTACGTGTAAATGTTGTACTATGTGTTCAATCTAAAACAAAATATAAAAATAAAAGACACATTTATATAGCGAAACTGCATAATTACCTTCAATAAAGTTGATCTGCCTAATGGTTCCAGCCCCTCCATCGCCTTGGATGATGTCAATACTCTTGATAGCCTGAGGCATGAGTTTGGGAACGAGGTTGCGAGAGTCCAGAATTAGGGCCTTGAACAATCTTGCCGGAGGAACTGTGGAAATATATTCATTTATGAAAGTGAACACACCCATGATGTTTTTGAGGTTAATACTAGAGAAATATGGACAATACGTTCAGAGTGGAGTTAGATGAAAATGAGATAGATTTATAGATTGGAGTGGAACAGGCCTCGTTTTCCAAAGTAATGCGAATCAAATCTAGAAACTACAACGACATATATTAGCCCAAACTCGATCCGAGCACATAAACTACTCCCTACAGCTAACTCTATAATCTCCTATCTACTTCATTTTGTAGATTTAACCCTATACATACCAAACGATAGCTTTTTAGACTTCTATTTTTGGGTAAAACATTTTTAAATCATAGAAAAGGTCCTATACATCGAACCCTCACTTGCTTAGAAGTTCATTTCCTGCTAAATTTACAACATGGAAAGACTAATAGTCTATTACTAATTTGTACAACCTCTCTATATATTCAAGGGAAAAACTTGAGTAGTCGGTCTCACTTTTTGACTTTCCAAATTATCCATTTTCAAACGGAAACATCGATGATAAATTATGTTAAAGTTGTATGGTCCATTTGTTTTGCAAAAAAATAAATGATTTGAAAAATATTTTCCTAAAAAAGATCGTTTGAATAGCTTGAAATAATAAGTCAATGAAAAATATTTTCGTTATCGACATCAATTTATATCTAAATATTTTCGTGAATGGTGAAAAATATTTTTCATTCATTCAATTTCGTAAGTGATTCGAGCGAACATTTTGTAAAAAATATTTATTTTCCGTGAAACAAACGCACCTCCCATAAGCCACCTTCAATCTCTTTCTTTTATTGCTCTTACCCCCATTTGATGCATTGCTAAAATTATGGCAAAAAGGAGGGAAAATCTCCCTAAAAAAATCAAGGCTTGTGATGATTTTGAAATCTTTACTACTACATATTTGATACCTTCTCCGAAAAAAAAAACTTGTAAGATCGAAACCATTTGTAATTCCATCAATTACTTGTCAATCAACAAAATGAATAAATTCCGCTAGTCCTCTTATACCCTGAGTTAAGGATATTGTATTAAAAGCATCTATGTAACCACGATTATATGAGCAATCATATATCACATTTATTATTTTGTCCTCTAAAATTCTATTAAGACCTCTTTTAGAAAACGAATTTAGTAAGTTGAAATTTTGTAAAGATGAATAAATAGGCTTATATAAAAAAAGACGGTATAAATGTTGCAAAAAAAGCTATACTGACAGAAAAACTTGCATTTTTCAGAAATTCATACCAATCCACAGAATTATTTGAATTCTAATGTAAAAAGTTTATCAATGGATTTAACAATTTGGATAATATATCCAAATGAATTCCTTCTTGATTGAAAGGAAAGGGAATTCCTATGACTCTAACAAACAAAGTAAATAGCACTAATTTGACCATGGAAAATAGCATTATGTTGTCCAATTCATGAGGAGAAGAGAAAGTATTTTTAGCACCAAAATGAGTAATAGTAATAAAAGGGCGCATTCTGTTTTTTCCATTACCACCAATTTGATATGTCTTATACCAAAAAATAGCATTATTTGAAAGTGCTGTTGTTTTTAGGATTCAGATTTATTATTCATTCAATGGAAGCTGTTGTTGGATTTTCTCCAGATAAAAGTCATAATTTGGGCAATGAAAGCTATCTTCCATGTCGTAACCGGCCGTGGCATGAGCATATAACATGGGCAATGAAGATTTGTGGAGGATCATCATTTGCTCATCGTCTCTCCAGGTTCTCACTTGGAGCCTTTTGTCATATAATATGGATTGAAAGAAACAACTCTATCTTCAGAAACAAAAGTATTTTCATCCCCGGTATGCGCAATCATATGATCAAAGTGGTGAAGGATAAAGCTTCAACCCTTGGAAGAATTGCAGACACGCCATTGAATAGGAGATTACAAAGGAGTTGGGGGCTATCACCTTCCATTTTTTCTTAATTGGGCTGGTTTGGCTTTCCTTTGTATAGCTTTTCCTTGCTTCCTTTATCTTTTTGTGGTTGAGCTTTCCGTGTTCCCTTGGATTTGTATAGTCTCTTTGGAACTTGGTTAGTCTCTTGCTTTCCTTTGTATTTGGTGATTTGAAAGTAATATATACCTTACCCTTACCAAAAAAAAAAAAAGTCATAATTTGGTTCTCATGGGAGGTTTAAAAAAGCATGAGCCCATTAGAAAAATTGCTTTTTTAGCAGGTACACTTTCTCTTTTGTGGTATTCCCCCCTTCCACGTTTATCTCTTTCTGGTGTCCCCCACTACTTCTCAAATTTAATGTTCATTTAATTTAGCATTTTACCAGATAAGAAAATAAAAATAAAAATCTCCACTACCTTTTAGGTAGGAGAACTGCTTTCCGCTCTCGCCCTTATGAATTTAATGTCATATATTCTCCATGACAGGTCGCTTTTGAAGTCCTACTCCAGTAGGAGCAACTTTTTCAAACTATCAATCTAAGACATAGCTACCAGCAGCGCGGATTGCGTGCTAGTTTTCTTTTAATGCTAAGAAATGCATTTCTTTCTTTTGGCGGCGTTCGATTCTTGACATTAAAATTGCCCTCAAATTTAAAGAAGACGACATAAGTGGAATTTGTCCCGTAGATGGGAAATGCTGGTTGGATAGTCCCAACATTTCTTCAGCAATTTTGAGTATGTGCTCGATATTGCGTAAAAGGAGCGAGTGATCCATAACAGCACATGCAAACCTACTCTAATAAGAGAGTCTACCTTAGGAACAAGGACGCTTGACCCGAAGACAATGTTGGATAAACAGTGATTAAGATTCCATTTGTTTTTCGAAAAATGAATGACTTGGAAAAGTTTTTCTTAAAAACAATCGTTTGTATCTCTTAAATAAATGAACGAACAAATGATATTTTTATCGTTTCTGAAAATATTTAGATATAAATTACTATCGATAGTGAAAATATTTTTCATTGGCCAATTATTTCAAGCGATACGAACGATCATTTTTAGGAAAATATTTTTCAAATCGTTCATATTCCACGAAAAGAATGGAGCCTAATATTTGCATGCATGACTAACCCACCTGATCCAATGTAATTCCCTTACGTTCCATACCTGTCAAAGACCAAGGCTTTAGACCAACTGGGCCTCCAAAAGGTCCATGACGAATTGGGCTTTGGCACAATAGGTTCTTCTCGTTTTGATAAGACACTTCACTTGTATCAGATGACTATAATAGATTTTGGCAATGAATTAAATTTATACGATCACAAAAGCAAAATAATGCAAGGTTTATGCTAGTATGTGTACTCAGAGAGAATATATGTTTCGTACGAATTTATTATAATCCATTCATGTATTATTCATAATTGAACTTTCGAATAGATAGATGATTATGCGCTAAACAGTATGAAAGCATATGACATTCATATCATGACTCATGAGCCAAAATATAGCAAAAACCCCACAATCCAAATCTAAGGGACGATTATAGGCATATAGAAGCGACAGAACTTGAATACTCCCAGCATAATACAGATAATATCGCAAGTACTCGTTGACGGGACTTCTTAAACTTATTTAAGAGAGCCTCTGAAGGTTCAAGCATAAGCATCAGGATTTTAAAGGATGTATGCTTCGCCAAACTTGTATATTTCCAAGAATCTCTCTTTGACGCCTTAACTTCCTCTTCTTTGAGCTCAACATCGCTCTTGGTGTAGTACGTGTCCCTAACCTTGTTCTTGCTCCCGCCTTTCGGTGTTGGCTCAAATTTTACTTGAAGGACAATAGATTCAAACTTCTCGTTCAGATCGATCATGGAATACTTGTACGTGAATTTCTCCTCGTTCAACTCATCCACGCGATTCTTGATACTAATAAACCGACCACCCGCATTCAATAGGAGATCATATCATAGTATACGTGTATATGTCGTTCTATGTGTTTAATCTAAAACAAAATATATAAAGAAAAGAGCACAATTATATATCGCAACTGCATAATTACCTTCAATGAAGTTGATCTACCTAATAGTTCCAACCCCTCCATTGCCTTGATAGCTTGAGGCATGAGCTTGGGAACTAGGTTATGAGTGTCCAGGGTTAGGGCCTTGAATAATCTTGCCGGAGAAATTGTGGAAATGTATTCATTTGAGAAAGTGAACGCACCCATGATGTTTTTGAGGTTGATACTGGAGAAATAAGGACAATACGATCAAAGAGATTGGAGTTCAGGAGGTTTTGTTGAGCTTATGATAGAAGAGATGAGAATGAGATGGATTTATGAATTGAGTGAAAGAGCCCTCATTTTTCCAAAGTAATTAATATGTTGCGAATCAAATCTAGAAAGTCACTATGACATATATTAGTCCAAACTCAATCCGAGCACATAAACTACTCTCTGTAGCTAACTCTATAATCTCCTATCTACTTTATTTCATAGATTTAACTATATATATATATATAGAGAGAGAGAGAGAGAGAGAGAGAGAGAGAGAGAGAGAGAGAGAGAGAGAGAGAGAGAGAGAGAGAGAGAACGATGGCTTTTAGACTTCTTTTTTAGGGGTAAAACATTTTTAAATCATAGCAAAAGTCTCATAAATCGAACCCTCACTTGCTTAGAAGTTCATTTCCTGCTAAATTTCCAACATGGAAGAACTGATTGTCTTTTACTAATTTGTACAACATATCTATACATTCAAGGGAAAAACTTGAGTAGTCGGTCTCACTTTTTGACTTTCCAAATTATCAATTTTCAATCGAAAACATCGATAATAAATGATGTTAAAGTTGTAGGATCCATCTGTTTTAAGAAAAATGAATAATTTGCAAAATATTTTCTTAAAAAAGATTGTTTGGATAGCTTGAATAATTAGTTAATGAAAAATATTTTCATCATCGACAACAATTTATATCTAAATATTTTCATAGATAATGTAAATATTTTTCATTCATTTATTTTCGTAAGTGATTCAAGCGAACATTTTGTAAAAATTATTTATTTTCCGCAAAACAAACGCTGCCCGTAAAACACCTTCAATCTCTTTCTTATCTTGCACTTACCCCCATTTGATGCATTGCCAAAATTGG